AAACGAAGAAGAATGGTTGCCAGCTCAGTACGGGCCCCTGTCAGTTGCTTTGCAATAATGCTGTGTACTGTCTCAAGATCAGCGACCCTTGCCTTCAACTGAATGGAAAGTTGGTCATCCTTAGCATGGGGAGAGTCATCAGGCACAACGTCAGGTTCAGAATTGGATGGGGCAGTCACCGGAACAACATCCCGAATGTGATCTCCAGTCAGCAGACGTTTATCAACAGTATAGAGCAGCGTTGGACTGATCACTTCACTGGGCATAGGCTCAAGACCCTGAGTTGTAAGAATGCCATAAATCAGATTTGGGAAGGGTAGTCTTACCTTCTGCTCCTGTGGATGAATCAAGGTAAGGATGTGATAGTAAATCCATTTTCCCAGATCAATTGGCATCTTCGTTCCAATTCGAAACAAGAAGCCTGCCAGAAGCTTGCCAACCGTGTGAAAATGGGCTGATGGGAGCCAGTTGTGAAGGGCCAGGAGATGTAAAATAACATATCTAGATGTGAGTTGAGAGCTCTGCAGATAGTCCTTGTCACCTGTAGGCCAAGCTTCTGTCTGTCCACCCGTAAGAGTTTTGGCCACCAAGTTCCAGTCGGTGACACCCTCTTCTTGCACAGCAGTCAGACCATAGTATTCATTGATCATGTCAGGCCCAAAAATGTACCACCTTCCTCTGATGAAGATCTGCATCGAACGAGGTCCGATTAAGATGTCAATCTCGTCATTGAGATTGCAATAGAATTCATACGTGAGGAGCTTTGAGTATGGGCAGATGTCAATGACAGTCTTCATCAATCCTACTTCATTCAGCAGAGGTAGAATGTCACATACAGAGTTCAGCTAGTTCTCATCCACAGATCGTTGAACAATAAGGTCCCTTCTAACCATAGTAGACCATTTGGCCTGAGCAGCAGGAGATACAAACTGAGGCCTGTAAACAGATGTGTCAGTTTCCTCAACAGGTTGAACCTCAGGAGTAATGCTTCGACCTCTGGATCGTGTGGATGGCTTCCTTTTTCTGGCAGATGATGCAGGTACAAAAGTAACTTGAACAGCAGTAAAGCCCTTTTGCTTAACAAACGATCGCAGTGTTTGAACACTTGTTGAATAGGTGGATTTCCTTCAGGCTTAACAGCCTCACTCGACTTCCTTTTTTTCTCAGGCTGATCCACATCAGCACTGTCATCACCGGTCTCAACAACTACCTTTACTGGAAAATTCTTCCTTTTAGACCATCTTATTTCTTTGGTTGGGGATTGAACAGGAGTCACAGAGTGACTAGAATCAGAGACATTGGCAGATGAGTTCCCGATAAGATTCGAAATCTCTCGAATTTTGAAGGTCGTGGAGTTAGGATGAGCAGTGGCCTCAACAGTTGGAATGTCAGATGGAGGTGCTTGAGATCCATACACTTCAGCCAGAATTTTATCATCTTCGCTGGAGGATTCAGATGGGTGAATCACTCGATACGGTTGAGGAATTGAAGTAGACAGTAGGCCAGCAAAGTGTCGCACCTGTTCCAGACTTTCACCTAATGATGTGGCAGTGTAGACTGGGATATGGGGGCTTGAGAGATCGACCGTTTTAACATTATCAGGTAAAACAGGAGGGTCATCAGCAGAGCAAATTGCTTTAGGATCATCAGCAATCTCAGCAGGAGGCAGAGCAATATTATCAGAAGAGTAAACAACTAAACTCAGTTTATTTGGCTCATCAGAGGATTTATCTTTCTCATCAGACACATGCAAGACATCATTTTTCACATCAACAGACTCACTCAACCGCAGGGATGTAGGATCAACATTCACAGGGGGGTTCTCAGAGTTCAAAGCAGTTAAATTTTCAGTATTAACAGGCACACAATCATCAGGTTTATCCCGTGAAATTTCAATAGGAGTATCAGAATTGTTTGACCTGTTTCGGAGGATCTCCTGTCTGTGTCTTGCCTCTTTTTGAGCAGCTTCGAGATACAATGGCTGTGACTCCGCTCGCCGTCGAGAGACCTCAGCAGATTTTAGGGCTCGTTGTGCAAAGTATCGAAGGAATGCCCCGGCCTGATTTCCATCCAAGGGTTCTGGAATAGATACTGGAGAAACTTCATCACTGGCTTCGGAAACCATCATCAGCAGTTCAGTCGCATCATCTTCAGACGATTCAGCATAAAACTCTGGGTAGTTCGTCATAACAGTCACCAAAATCTCGTCGCGAAGCAGGGGATCAAGCTTGAGTTTCTTTTTCATAGCAAACTGCAATAGTGTCTGAATATGCTTAAGAGCCACCTCCGGAGAATGTGTCTTGCTTCCGAGTTTGATGATGATATTTCTTACAGGGACCGCCATTGAAGAAATTTTTTGTGAGAGGAGAAGGACAAATCACGGAAGGCAGGTATGCTGAGAGAGAGAAGGTTTGAGTGCTGAGAAGCTTGAAGATATTTTTCTTCTTGGCCCGGTAACAAATAGACTTAAGGGTGATGAACCCTAATCAATGTGGCTTGTCAAATATCATGCAGACGCGATTGATTGACACAACGGTACGGCTTCTTTTTAGGAAGGAAACAGAACTCAAGGAAATTTGAATTTTGAAAGAAGATTAAGATCTTTTAAGATATCTTTAAGATACATTAGGTTATAGAATCCACTTAACAAAAATAGAGAGGAGTTTTAAAAGAAAGTCATACCATAATACTGACCCGTATAAACCAACATTTACTCGTCTCTAACTGACCAACTGCTTTATTAGTCAATTCTGCAAATTCGCAGAGCAGACCTGAGAATTTCAAAACGATTAGCGTCTAGTGGCTTAGTCAGAATATCCGCCAGTTGTTTGTCAGTTTGAATATATTCCAATTCAATTTCCTTGGATTCAACCAGGTCTCTGATGTAATGATGCCTGATGTCAATATGCTTCGTTCTGGAATGTTGAACTGGATTCTTGGAGATATTAATAGCACTGACATTGTCACAACAGAGTGTCATTATCCCTTGAGTAAGACCATAATCCATCAACATCTGTTTCATCCATACCAACTGAGTACAACATCCACCTGTAGCTATGTATTCTGCCTCTGCAGTGCTTAGTGAGATTGAATTCTGTTTCTTGCTTAGCCATGATACTAAGTTCTTACCAACAAAGAAACATCCTCCAGAAGTACTCTTTCGATCATCAATATTTCCTGCCCAATCAGCATCACAGTATGCAACAAGACTCAGTTCATTGTCCTTGGAGTACCAGAGGCCATACTACATCGTTCCTTTAACATATTTCAGAATGCGTTTTACAGCTATCAGGTGTGATTCCTTTGGGTCAGATTGATACCTTGCACAGATTCCAACAATGAACATTATGTCTGGTCGACTGGCTGTTAGATACAACAGACTGCCTATCAAGTTGCGATAGACTGTGTTATCCACTGATACACCAGTTTTATCTTTCGATACTTTTGTGGAGGTGGAGATTGGTGTCCTGGATGATTTACATAATTCCAGATCAAACTTCTTGACTAGATTCTTAGCATACTTTTCTTGTGAAATGAAGTATCCTTCAGGGCTTTGCTTGACCTGTAGTCCTAGGAAGTATGTCAGTTGACCAACCATAGACATTTCAAATTCTTCCTTCATCACTTTTACTAACTCGTCAGTGTATTTTTGTAAGGTTGATCCAAACACAATGTCATCAACATAGATTTAGGTTATGGTTACATGACTTCCAATAGTTTTTACAAACAAGGTTTTGTCAACACTTCCCCGTTTATACCCATGCTGGAGCAGATACTGTGTCAGTCATTCATACCATGCTCGTGGGGCTTGTTTGAGACCATAGAGAGCTTTTCGAAGCTTATAGACATATGATGGATGATTTGGATCTTCGAAACCTTTAGGTTGAGCTACATAGATATCTTCGTGGAGATAGCCATTCAGGAATGCTGTCTTGACATCCATCTGAAACAGTGTGAATCCCAAAATACATGCGACAGCCAACCGAATCCTGATTGACTCGAGTCTAGCTACAGGAGCAAAAGTCTCATCATAGTCAATCCCTTCAATCTGAGTATACCCTTGAGCCACTAACCGAGCTTTGTTTCTTGCTATATTCCCAGCTTCATCAGTTTTATTTTTTAAAGATCCACTTTGTTCCAATTATGTTGACACCATCAGGTCTTGAAACTAGATCCCAGACATGATTTCGCTCAAACTGATGTTGCTCCTCCTGCATTGCCTTGGTCCACAGATCATCCTGTAAGGCTTCTTTAACATTCCTGGGTTCTATCTTTGAGGTATAGCAGGCAGATCCAGATATTTCTGTCAGATTATTTCTTATTCTGCTCCTGGTCTTCATCCCATCTGATGGATCTCCAATGATGTTATCTGATGGATGATTTTTCTGAGTTCTGGTGGGTTTGTCTTTACCTGTATCATTTATGAGACTTGTCTCCTGTTCCGAACTTTCTTGATCTTCATCTGTCGATTCTTGTAGTTTGGGCTGACTGTTGCTATTAGTGGCAGTTGGGTCACTGAAAGGAAGCTCTGTCACTGAACTGTCACTGTTGTGTCTACTGATTCTTCTGGACTGTCATCTATAACCACATTTACTGACTCCATCACAGATTGAGTCCTCTTGTTGTAGACTCTGTAGGCACGATTGTTTGGAGAGTATCCAAGGAAGATGCTCTCATCACTCTTAGGTTCGAACTTCCCTCTTTGTTCTCTATCAGCCAGCACATAACACTTTGTCCCAAACACATGAAAATACTTCAGATTTGGCTTCTTTCCCTTCCAGATCTCATATGGTGTTTTGGTTGTTCCTGGTCTAAGATAAACTCTATTTATAGTATGACATGCTGTGTGTACTGCTTCATCCCAGAAGCGCTGTGGCAGATGAGAGGCATGTAGCATAACTCTAGCCATTTCTTGTAAAGTTCGATTCTTTCTTTACACTACTCCATTCTGTTGAGCAGTTCTAGGGGCTGAGAACTCATGTGATATACCGTGCTCGGAGCAGAAGTCTGAATATAGTGAGTTCTCGAATTCTTTTCCATGATCACTCCTCAATCTCTGAACTTTTATTATAGACTCATTCTTTTCCTTATGAACCCTTATACACAGAGTTTTATAGGCCTTGAATGCTTCTGTTTTTTCTCTTAGAAAGTATACCCAGCTGTATCGAGAGAAATCATCTACACACACAAATATGTATTTCTTTTCCCCAATGCTTTCAGTCTGTGTTAGCCCCATGAGGTCTATGTGGACAAGATCTAGGCACTTCTCAGTGGTGATGCCTCTTATTTCTTTGTGTGGAGTTCTGATTTGTTTCCCAATAGCACATGCGCCACAAATTTTTTCTGGATCTATTCTGATCTTAGGTACATCTTTCACAGCTTCCAGTTTTATCAGCTTATCCATATCTCTGAAGTTTACGTGACCCAGTCGTCTATGCTAGAGTTTTGATTCATCAGATTTGGATAGGTGACAAGCAATTTCATTTGTCAAAACATAACAATTGTCTGAGGACCGGGTTCCTTCCATGACTAGTTGATTTGCTTTGTCACTAACTCTGCAGCAGTTACGGTCAAAGCACACATTCCAATTTTGATCACACAACTGACTGATGCAAATCAGATTCGCTTTCAACCCACTGAGTAGCAGAACTTCTTCTAATTGAGGTAAACCTGGTACATTCAGGATACCTTTCCCAACTATTTTCCCTTTTTGTCCATCTCCATATGCTACAGCTCCACTGCTAGGTTGAACAACCATCAGACACTAAACATTTCCAGTCATATGTCTGGAACACCCACTGTCGAAATACCATCTAGCTTCAGTTTTAGATGCAGTCAGAACTATGGTGGGGTAGCAGATAACTTCTGAATTCCTGACCCAAACCTGTCTAGTGAATGGTGTAATAGTCTTATTATGATATTTTTCCTTCCTTTGATCTCTGTAGAAAAAATAACACTCAGGCCGAGTATGACCTTCTGTTTGACAGTAGTGACAAATAGGGGTGTAATATTTAACTTTGACAATCTTATTTTTGAACCTTGAATAATGAGATTGATGAGTTACTTTGGCCAGGCCAGTATCAGCAGTCTGGTCGTACCTCCTTCCCTTGTTCTGCACTGACCGAGATGACTGGCCTTGTTCAAAGCTGTGAACATCTGTGGTCTTAGACATACCCTCTTTGATGAACATAGGTGCGTTATTCGAAGATTCACCTCGTTCAAATCCCAGGCCCTTTTTATCATTTGGATTTCTGCTAGAGTCTAGAATCTTATCTAAGGTTGATGTGGTGTCCATCATCTGGATATTTTTCTTCAAACTCTCCAATTCCTTGATCAGTTTTCCTTCTCTGGATCTTATCTGAGTGATGAGATCTTCTTTTATGACAAGGTCTGGATTCAGTTTCTTTAGAAGATCATCTCTTTGCTTCAGCTCGTCATTCAGATTTTTATTTACTTTCACAAGTTGTTCCCAGCTAGCAACAAGTTTAGCAAATTCTGTTTCAAGTTGAGTATGTCTCTCTTCAAAATCATTAGTTGATATGTAAGATTCTTCATCTGATTGGTCTCCGTCTGACTGAAGGTCTATAGCAGTAAAGAAGGCTACAAAGTTTCCCACATTATCATCTAACTGATCATTTGAAGTTTCCTCCTCATCATCGCTTAAAGTAGCTACAGACATAGCCTTTTTCCTCTTGAGATACGTTGCACATTCAGCCTGTATGTGTCCATACCCTTCACATTCCCTACACTGCACTGACCGGTTGAGGGATTTACCTGTGTCTGTGGACCTGTTTCTGTTTTGTCTTGTTCGACCAGTCTGAGATTGATTGTTCTGTGAGAAAGGTGTTGTTTCAGCTTTTTGATATGAGGAGTTGTTGCCTTTGTATTGTGTTCTGGTAGGCTGACCTTGACCCTTTCTGTTGAAACCTTTTAAGATTTTCTTGAAATTCTTGGTTAGAAGTGCCAAGGTTTCATCATGTATGTCGTCTGTGTCAGATTCTCGATCAGCCTCAGCCACAAAGGCCACTGACTTTCCTTTTCTGTTGCTTCCAAGATCATCATCAGCAAGAACTTCTAGTTCATATGTGTGTAAGCTTCCTATAAGTTCTCCGACAGTCTTCTTTTCCCAACCTGTATGTTCCTGAATAGCAGTTACTTTCATTCGAAAGTGTTTAGGTAAAGATCGAAGGATCGTTTTGACCACTCTCTCATCAGTGAATGGTTCACCAAGAATTGAGGGTCGGTTCATAAGATTCTGAACCCTACTGTGGAAGGTTGAAATGGTTTCCTCTTCATTCATTCTAAGGGCTTCGAATTCTGACAGAACCATTTGTAGCTTTGACTGCTTGACATCACTAGTTCTTTCAAATCTGGTTTCAAGAATTTCCCATACCCGTTTAGCCTCTTTTACTCCAGTGACAAGAGTAAAAACAGATTCATGTAGAGATCCTACAATCGAGTTCAACGCTTTGTTGTTTAGATCTGAGGCATTCATTTCATCGTCTGTCCAAGTCTCCATGGGCTTATCTTCAGTAACTCCTTCTGCATTCTGAATAGTTGGACGACTCCACCCAGTTAGGACAGTACGATAAACCCTGGTACCTTGTGCTTGAAGATATATCTCCATGCGAGCCTTCCAGAAAGAGTAGTTGTAACTATCTAGTTCTGGTGGTTTCATACTTGCATCCATCCTGAATACAAACAACCAGCCAACGAACACACAGAGACACTTCCAAAAGACAGAGAATAATGCAAAACTAAAAACAACCCGTACGGATCAAGTCACTATGTAGACTTAAAAGCTCTGATACCACATGTAATTTTGCATTTTCTCTTTTTAGACAGATTAACAGGATTAATCAACTGTCAGAGTTTACTGATTGATTCAGTTACGAAGTCAGTCAGTACTAATAAATCATGGAGAAGATTAAAGAGAAAGATAACAACACAAACCCAACGACACAGAATGTTTACCCAGTTCGATACAGTGTGTATCTACATCTGGGGGACGATCACATAGGCGTCCAATCCACTAAATCATAATCCAATGTACAAAGGTAGATATACAATATTCTTACCCAAGTGCCCCACACAAGGTACATACCCAGTCTACACAGGTTTAGTGGATTGTTGAAGATGGAGAGCCATGCATACAGAAGTCCAATGAAATCCCTTCACTTGGAGAGCCCACTCTGATGCAGTCCACTTCAATGACGCTCTTTACAGTTGTTCCCACAACAGTGTGATCATAGTGTCCTTTTGTTTAAGCAGCAGTGATTCTTCTCAAGTTCATCATCTTAATCACCATGAACATATTGTATTGAGAAGATGCATGACAATCAAAGATCTCGTCTCATATGACAGATAGGGAGTGTTTCTTCTTACTTTTTGGCGTAACCCTAATTCTCTTCGAATAAGAGTACTTATAGATTCTTCAATAAACACTCTCCATAGATGACTTTGATTGTAGAAGGTAGGACTATAAAAGAGGAATGTAATCTCAGAAGATTAGGTCCATACCTTTCTTGAAAATATACACTGATCTTCTTTCCAAACTAGTATGATAATACCGCGTACAGTCTTTTAGAAAACAGCTTCCTAAAACAGATCTTCAGTGTCAGTCCTTCTGTTGTTGCTTCTGATTGATCAGTCGTCTGTAGAGTTGGACTGACAAACTCTAAACCTATCTTAGTATGCCATAATAATATTGCCAATTATAATATGGGGTTTTTGAACATTTAAAAACACTAACACACCTTGCATCGCACCCAGTACGAATAGTGCCTCCAGATTTTTAGGGCAAACACTATTGCTGCTAGTTCTAGGTCATGAGTGGGGTAATTCTCCTCATGGGTTTTAAGTTGTCTAGATGTGTGCACGATTACTTTACCATTTTGCATTAACACGCATCCCAGACCTTTCTTTGAGGCATCGTTGTAGACTTCGAATCCTTCTAGTCTTGATGGTAGCGCCAATACTGGGGCTGTGGTCAATTTCTCTTTTAGTTCTTGGAAGGCCAGGTCACAACTCGCGTCCCATTGGAAGGAAATTTCCTTTTTCATGAGTCTCGATTCCTAATTATGCAAGAACAACAAGAATCACAAGAACACCAAGATCCCATCAAATAAACCCTAATGACAAGCTCTAGACATGCCCAAACGCAAGATCGCAAATATAATTCATCACAACACCAAGATCATCAAGATTATCAAATAAACACAACATAAACCCTAGGCAAAGCTCTATCAAAACTCAATCACAGAATCATACATACAATTATCAAAGGAGCCAATAATCGAGATATAGCAAGGAAAATAGGTTTTGTAAGACACGGGTTACCTCTTAGCCTTAATTAATCCTCCCTTGGCTATTAAGATTCTTTACTAAGATTCTCCTCCGATTGGTTTCCCTAGGCTTGGTGGTGGGGAATTCCTTCTGCTAAGTTCCCGGGCAAATCGCGTATTTAGTGTTATGAGGGGAAGATGGTTCTAAATGCTTTCTAATCCTCTATATTTAATTATTCAGAAGTCCTATTTGGAATATGAATGGCAAGGCCCACTTACTTTATTCCTACTGGGTTTCAGGCAATGGTCCATGATCCATTATGGACGACATTAATTAATTAAGAAAATCTTAATTATATTAAATCTTTTTTAATTATTGATAGCGGGATTAATTTAATTAATTAATCCGGGCTCGAGGGCCGTAACACGGGGTATTATAGTATTGTTGTTGCCTCTTGATTGATATTTGAATATCGTATCATGTTGATTATTCTGTTCATACTGGTCTCTGGAGTAACCGTATGGTGTCCGGTTGATTGAGTGTGTTCCTTGATAAATCCGTTGTTTCCTTGCATACTTTTCCATGCTTTGTCGCATATCATTCTTTGATTATTTGATGATTTACCTTGGTATTCTGAAACTTAGAAAACTCTTAACTTTATTTCGTAATAAATGTTGGACTTGATTATTTACTTGAGCATGAAAGTTGGATTATTTTCCTAATTGATTTATTTATAGGTTGGTTAAGGACTTGCATGAGTTTGCATGAAAGTTACGGAGACATAACTTTATTTCTTAGAAAGGGAAAATGTGATATGTGATCTTTATGGTGTCTTGCGCTTTCGTTTGAGTCGCTTAAATTTCATATTGGTCAAGTCCCCCTTGTTCCTTGTTGCTTTATGGTTATGCTTCGGGGACGAAGCATCTTTTGAAGGGGGGTAGAGTGTGATTGTCACAACCCAAAATTTAATTTTCTAAATTTTGTTTTAAGAAATTCTAAAATAACCATTTTTCACTCTTCCAAAATACCTATGAGTAAAACGGTGTTCGAATTAATTATTTTGAGTTACGTTTTAAATAAATCCAACACCGGGATTCATTCTATTTCTAAAATTCTAAATTCTTGGGTACACGTACCAAGTTTTGACCCAAAAGTCAATCTGAGTGAAACCGAGAGAAATCTGATAAACCTAAACCAAGTGGTCATCTAGAAATTATTTTTGAAAAAATCTATTTTGACCCCCAAACTATTTAAAACTATCATTCTAGACTTTGGTCCATGTTGCATGGTGGACCACAAGCTTCTAATGCCTTGTCTGATGCTTTTGAAGAATCAACCAAAAAGACCAATAAGATAAAGACCCCCGATTGAACAAATATATCTAGGTATATTCCTACTATTCTAAATATATTATCCTAAATTTTTATTATTTGTATACGTTCCTAAAGCATGTAGTAATCCTAATTATATTTGTACACTACACTTACACGCACATCAGTATCATTATTATTATTATTATTATTATTATTATTATTATTATTATTATTATTATTATTATTATTATTATTATTATTATTATTATAATTATTATAATAATTATTATTATTATTATTATTATTATTATTATTATTATTATTATTATTATTATTATTATTATTATTATTGTTATTATTGTTATTATTGTTATTATTGTTATTATTGTTATTATTGTTATTATTGTTATTATTGTTATTATTGTTATTATTGTTATTATTGTTATTATTGTTATTATTGTTATTATTGTTATTATTGTTATTATTGTTATTATTGTTATTATTGTTATTATTGTTATTATTGTTATTATTGTTATTATTGTTATTATTGTTATTATTGTTATTATTGTTATTATTGTTATTATTGTTATTATTGTTATTATTATTATTATTATTATTATTATTATTATTATTATTATTATTATTTCTAATCCTAATTAATCACCTTGCCTAATCTTAAATCTTTCATAGTTGTGTCATATACAGTACGTCCCTCTCTCTCTCTCTCTCTCTCTCTATATATATATATATATATATATATATATATATATATATATACACTTGTAAGCCTATAGAACATCCTCCTTTATTTATACGTATTTATATAATTGTATGATCGTATTATATACAATAATATCTCTAACCCTAATCTACCTAATTATATTTCTCTTTATGAATATTCTGTATGAGTTAACCCTAGCTCTATCATATTTGTCTGCATCCCATATCGCCTCCCTATGGCCATTTCCTTCCCCTCCCAAATAAATAAAACCCTAGTTTTCTCATTGTTCATAAGTCTCTTCCCATCAATCATTGACTCAAGAATTAGGGTCCAAGTGTCATCAAGTTTAGGTGGTTGATTTTGGAATTCAAGTAAGATTTATGGCTACTCAAAATTATTTTAACCCCATAAGAAATAAAAATATTTCTCTATGTGCCTATATGAAAATCTTGTTCCTCAAATAAAAATCTATCTCGCTACATTCGAATAATTTTATGTGATCCATGATCCTCGTGAATATTGTGTATTACGTGGAAACTGTTTGATGAAGATTGTTGATTACCGTTGTGAGTTTGATACGTGTAGTTATCGATATATAAAATTTAGGGTCCTCTAATGCAATTCTTTGAGCTATTCTATGAATTCAAGCTCTTTTTGTTATTCAACCATATCGATATTTGGACTTGAATTTGTGCATTCTTGATATTTTTTCTGAAGTGATTTCCCCTTCCCAGGCGCGTACCAGCAGGACCCTGGCGGACCCTGGCAGGCCGTCGACCTCCCACCGTACCGCCATTGGTACGGTGTGTTGATTTCTTGACTTCTCGTTTTATTGATCCGTTGTGCCCCATAAGAAGCAAAAAACCTTTTTCCTAATTGCATACGTGAAAATCTTTTCCTCAGAAATTGGTTCTTGTCATTTTAAGTAATTTCTATATGACTTATGATCTTCCTGATTATATATGACAATTGTTGGTTATGCCACGATATTGAGTACATGAATTTATTTGTGGAATATGCACTAGTTTAACATATTGAACAGTACGCATAGGTGTTGTGTGTTTCCATATGACTAGTTATTATTTAAGACTTGAAATATGTTCACGTGCCTTCATGCCCTATGCCTATAGACTAGGCAGTTGAATATTTAGCATAATTACGGCAGTATATATTTAGGTGTACCAATTTGCAAGTTTCGCATATAACATGATAGTTAATTATAAAAGACTACCCCATATGATAGGCTTGTCTTTATGTAATTGTGAGTATTTGGTGCATGATGTTTGGTACACTGAATGGGTATAAATCCTGTTTAGGTGGTATTTGGCTCATGACATGCTAAATTGTACATTAAATGTTTATATCCAACCGTGAATATGATTCGCCTGTGTTGCTATATGTGTTTTACATTGATTGCATGGCTATTCAAATGTGCACCTACGTGGTATTAGTCTCTTATTTAGGTACATAAATAACTATATTTAATTGCATGTTCGGTGTAGCTTGTGATCCTATATGTTTAAATCATTATAGCATGTCGTGAGTAAGACTTCTCTGTTGTGCTTTTATTCATATAATGTGAATTGCATGTTC